TGAAGTAAGCTATCATTATGCGTTATCCGTCTTTCACTGTTAAGTTAAAAGCTGGTATCTATCAAAGGCAATTCGACCTAATTTCAGGTTTATCATTACACAAGATCTCGTTTTATGTCGTTGCGAACGATCCTCGACATCTTTTGAGTCTTCCGTCCTCGTGATACGCTCAGCGTACGGCCATCGAAATCAAACAAAATGGCTTCAAGCCACGAGAAAATGCCGACGTCGATCAAAGCTCCAGGTCCCGCTTATGAAGCCGGATAGAAGACAGGACATCGGCGACTGCATACCAGTTGGCCGTCATCTTGGCTACTTTCGATTCTTGATCTGCCACGCGATTTACTCCAAAGGTTGTCGTGTGTCTCCATACGACCTGCAATCGTTAGCCCCATTTGATATCAATTAAAGGGCATTGCAGAGTCGAACGGGCATATGGGGGACTTTATGGCACCTATATATGATCGAGGCGGCGAATCTAGTTTGATTTCAGCAACTGTCAGTCGCCAGTCATATAAACGACTTGAGAACTCTTCTCCGTCACGGCAACACTGAAGATAAAAACAGCGCGGTAAGTAGACTGTCGCTTCGGTTTAATTGAGAAAAAAGTGGCGGCAAAGAAGGCAACGGTCTCCCGATAGCAATGGTCAATCGTTTGTTGAAATCGGCGATTATTATGTCAGCAAAACTTGATGTTGATCTAGAGAATACCAGAACAACGCAGTGCCTTTATTGAAAACACTCGTCAGGCTGTAGTAGATATCATAAAATACGGGCCGAGTAAGGAATAACTGCAGGCATCTCTAGATAGACCATACGACTCTTAAGATTGACCTAACTGTCAAGAAAGCTATACGAGGAAGTCGACCTTGTTACTTGACATAAAGCTAAATTGTTAATAAAAATATTGGTAAATAATGTAATGGCCTGCGCCGAAAGATTAAGGCAGCAACTACCAACCAATAGGTCAAAAGTAACACCGCCTGCATGACATCAGGTTCTACGCCTGGTATGAACAGCGACGCTTCGGGAAATTCTAACTCAGCCTGTACCCAAGCGTTGTTCGCCATATTGATGCGTTCTCTGTCAACATCCATGTTCGGAGGTGTAACACAAGCGCTAAAAGCATTTACTAGAATTTTCCTAAAGGACGACTGCGTAAGATCCAAAGAGGTGTTTATTACTCGAGATGACAATGTGTACTTCGCAGTAAGCACGTCGCAGGCACCTCTGGAGTGTGAGCAAACCTTATTCTGACACACA